CTCTCCTCCTGTATTATCTGACTGGACCAGGTATACCGGCTGACTCTCTCTCCTCCTGTATTATCTCACCGGACCGGCTATACCGGCTGACTCTCTCTCCTCCTGTATTATCTCACCGGACCGGCTATACCGGCTGACTCTCTCTCCTCCTGTATTATCTCACCGGACCGGCTATACCGGCTGACTCTCTCTCCTCCTGTATTATCTGACTGGACCGGCTATACCGGCTGACTTTTATATAGTTTTTTTTTAAATTTTATTTTTTTATTTTTTTATAGCGGGTCATTGAATTGTATCGAATTTGAGACATATTAATGATGTCTAATTGTCCGTTCTACAGGTAATGGAGACTAAAGACATGATATACATCGTCACAGAATATGCCCAAAATGGGGAATTGTTTGGTGAGTGTCTGAGAAAATCTAAACCTATTCATAGGGATGGCCATAACATGGGCTACAAATACACCATTAAAAGGGTTTATTTCCGAGTTTCCTTCTATGCAGGAGACATGGTGAAATCTAGTCCTGAACCTCCTATCTGCTGTTAATGCTGTCTTTTGTTCTTGTTTTACTTCTAGATATCTTAACTGTACGGGGACGGCTAACGGAAGAAGAAGCAAGAAAAAAGTTCTTGCAGATTCTGTTGGCTGTGGACTATTGTCATTCTCACAACATTGTCCACAGAGACCTGAAAACTGAGAACCTGCTCCTCAACCACAATATGGATATAAAAGTGGCAGGTTGGTTGGATTCGGCGTTAAGGAGGAACATGATTAATAAATGGCAGTGTGTGTCCCTAATGATTCTTTCACTGTATAACAGATTTTGGATTTGGTAACTTTTACACGGATGGCCGGCCTCTGAACACATGGTGTGGCAGCCCACCTTACGCTGCACCTGAAGTCTTCCTTGGGAAGGAATATGAGGGTCCATTGCTGGATGTTTGGGTGAGTGGCAGAATGCAGTCTGTGCCCCGTTCTGGATGCTGGAATCCTGTCCTGTTGTGTTTTATACCACACCTACTATAGACTGTAAGCTTGTCTATTGTTTTTGTAATTGTCTCATTTATTGTTAATTCTCCCCCTCTGATAATATTGTAAAGCGCTATGGAATATGCAGGCGCTATATAAATACCAGTAATAATACTTGCATGTTGTGTTTTTATTTTTTTATTTTTTTTTATATCGCTTTCTTTGGTTTTAGAGTTTGGGAGTCGTGTTGTATGTTTTACTCTGTGGATCATTCCCGTTTGACGGGCCCAACTTATCGACTGTACGGCAACATGTGTTGGAGGGGAGATTCCGGATCCCATATTATATGAGTCAGGGTAAGGCTGCACCCAGCTATGTCTATACAGATTAAACATCACCACATTGAGGGAGACAAAATATAGCTCAGCAAAGTGTTTTTTGTGAATTTTTAGTTTACTGTTTCCTTCATTTTTATTTTATTTGCACCAAATATCCCATTTTCTAGAAAGCTTACAAAAGCTATCAGATGATTTTGGTCACTCTGTCCTGTTGTGTGGAATTGTGGTTGCGTGCGTCCGAACCACGTACTTACTGTGTTGGCTTATGGCGTCAGTGCTTCCCTGTGTTTCTGTAACTCTGTGTGGTTTAGAACCCATGACTGTGCCTGACCGTTGTTGGTTGTGATGGATTGTTTGCCCCCTTGTCTCTCAGACTGTGAGTCTCTCATTCGTCGGATGCTGGCTGTGGACCCAGCGAAGCGTCTGACCATTGCACAGATAAAGCAGCATCGCTGGCTGCAGGGATTAACCCTCCATCTGCCTCTGCACAGTGTCCTCCCCACAGCTGAGCCGTGCCTGCAGGTTCTCAGCATCATGCAAAGCCTGGGCATCGACAGAGATCGAACACTGCAGGTGAGCCGCAATCTGCTACCTGCAGCCAGTGTGAAACCAGAATACAAGAACTGTGCCTTTTACCCAAACCAGTCTGTTCACTCACACTCTCTCTCTATGTGATTCTCTCACTGTGATTCTCTCACACTCTCTCTCTCTCTGTGATTCTCTCACACTCTCTCTCTCTATGTGATTCTCTCACACTCTCTCTCTCTATGTGATTCTCTCACACTCTCTCTCTCTGTGATTCTCTCCCACTCTCTCTCTCTGTGATTCTCTCACACTCTCTCTCTGTGATTCTCTCCCACTCTCTCTCTCTCTGTGATTCTCTCCCACTCTCTCTCTCTCTGTGATTCTCTCCCACTCTCTCTCTCTCTCTCTCTGTGATTCTCTCACACTCTCTCTCTCTATGCGATTCTCTCACACTCTCTCTCTATGTGATTCTCTCACACTCTCTCTCTATGTGATTCTCTCACACTCTCTCTCTATGTGATTCTCTCACACTCTCTCTCTATGTGATTCTCTCACACTCTCTCTCTCTATGTGATTCTCTCACACTCTCTCTCTCTATGTGATTCTCTCACTCTCTCTCTCTATGTGATTCTCTCACACTCTCTCTCTCTGTATGTGATTCTCTCACACTCTCTCTCTCTATGTGATTCTCTCCACTCTCTCTCTCTGTGATTCTCTCACACTCTCTCTCTCTATGTGATTCTCTCACACTCTCTCTCTCTGTGTGATTCTCTCACTCTCTCTCTCTGTACGATTCTCTCACTCTCTCTCTGTGATTCTCTCCCCACTCTCTCTCTATGGCGATTCTCTCCCCACTCTCTCTCTATGTGATTCTCTCCCACTCTCTCTCTCTATGTGATTCTCTCCCACTCTCTCTCTATGTGATTCTCTCCCACTCTCTCTCTATGTGATTCTCTCACTCTCTCTCTCTATGTGTGATTCTCTCACTCTCTCTCTGTGATTTTGTCTCTGTCTCTCTCTGTGACTCTCTCACTCTCTCTCTGTGACTCACACTCTCACACTCTCTCTATGTGATTCTCTCACACTCTCTCTCTATGTGATTCTCTCCCACTCTCTCTCTCTCTCTCTGTGATTCTCTCCCACTCTCTCTCTCTCTGTGATTCTCTCCCACTCTCTCTCTCTCTGTGATTCTCTCCCACTCTCTCTCTCTGTGATTCTCTCCCACTCTCTCTCTATGTGATTTTGTCTCTGTCTCTCTCTCTGTGACCCTCTCACTCTCTCTCACACTCTCTCTCAGTCCCTACAGAATGACTGCTACGATCACTATACGGCTATTTATTATCTCCTTGTGGAGAGGGTGCAGCGGTTATCTTCAATGCAAGAGCTGCCAAGAGCCCACAACTCTAACATGGTGGGTAAAAGTCCATGTAGTGTGTTTTGTGCTGTATGTTTGGCTCGCTTTTTATTTTACATTTTTGCTTTTATGGTGAGAATCTAACTTTGTAATATTTGTAGCTGTTTGGGGTGTAAATTGTATGAATTTTCCACTCTGGGATGAATAATGTTACATGCCTGGGGTACCCCCTAGAGAAAATACATTTTATTTTATTTATTCTTTTCTCTCCCAAAGATCCGTTGTTCGGGTCTCCAGTCGGAGCTGGCGGATTCTGATTGTGAGCTTAGTTTTCCGTTGCAGGTGAGTGGGGGTACAGGAAGGAAATGGAATGTGGGATTAAGATTAGGAAACTACTGGATTCATTCATGTCTTCTGTTTTTTTTTTTTTTTTTGTCTACCTTGAAGGCTCTGTTACACCTGAAGGATTCTCCCTGTCTCGGGCAGGCGGACACCATTTTGCATCCTCCCCACGTACTTCAGGAGAAAACCCTAAATAAGGAACCTGTGCAAGAAACACCTTGTGAGTGTCTTCTCAAAAACTCTTTCTCTTTTCTGACAGACTCTCATTAACCCTTCTTCACGTTCTTCTCACATCTTTTTTTTTTTTCCTGTCGCCCTTCCACAGCTCTGCTCTCACTGCCGCTCAGTAAATCGTTACTTTGTCACTGTTTTATCACACTCTGGCCTGTCACTCATGACTCTTGTACATGCTTGCTTTCTCCATCTGCCTCTTGGTCAGTCATTCACGGTTGTCTCTGAGCCCTCACCATTGCACTATCCTCTTCCACTTGCAGGTATTTTAATCTCCTCCACACTCCCTTCAACGTGTCATAGTCTGGAGAATTGTCTCGTTCCTTCATGGATCCAGTCTCCTTTTATGTCCACATCCCCTCTCAGTGCACAATCAGCAACTCCTGTCCTTCAGGCTCAGGGCATCTCTTCACCGCGCTCACTCCTACCTGTGACATTTCAGGAGGGACGGAGAGCGTCTGATACTTCCCTTACACAAGGTAACATCTGCGCACAAGTATTTCTTGGAATATAATCATATTATGATTTATTTTGGTTTTTTTTTGCATGAGGTAAAAGGTCAAGATTAGGATATAGTCTACAGTCAACGTTATGGAATGAGTTTGTGATTTGGGGCCAAGGCGAGTAATGGTTCAGGGTTTGTGTGAGTCAAATTGAAGGTGTATAAGGTTAGATTTGGGTTTTGTATCAATTTCATACAGATACCGTCTTAGATGGAGTGATTACTAGGATTGCGGTAAAGCTTAGATTTGGCATCAGATTTCCAAGTATTCATGTTGGTTTCAGTGAGGCTTAAGAGAGGGCAAGAATTACACTCCGGTTTGGGGTGACTGGACTAGGTTCATTTTCTGTTTGCCGTTAGTGTTGATGTCAAGGCTGAAGTTGGAGCTTGGCTCATGGCTTGTTTTTAGGTTTAGAATTAGCACCAGACTGGGTATTGCTAGGGTTAGATCCTGGACATATTCTGTCTCTGTGTATTACATGATGGGTTTATGTTACAGGACTCCGGGTGCTGCGACAAGTACGCAAGACAACCAGGGTTCGTGGACTCCTGTGTTTCAGTAAAATTCGCTATGGGAACCGTCATAATGGCATCTCTCTGCGTGGGTTGTGCACCTCAAACTGTTTCCAGCAACAGATCCAAGAAGGGGCTGTTTCACAAGGACTCCTACAGGAAGCATTGCAGCAACAAAAGTGAGCAATAAAAGTAACTATGTGGTCGATATTTTGGTATATAAAAGGACCTTTCTTTCATCGGTCACTCCTGATTAGTCTTCTTCCTCTTTACCTTGTGTGTTGTATGCCATATATATGTTGTACTATGCATTCTTGGCTTTGTATTTTTGAGTTCTAGCAAAGATTTAGCTTAAATGTTGCTATTTTCATAATAAGTCTTACATAGTGCACAATTTTTAACAAAGTGTGGCAATGGGTGAGGTTTCAAGATCCCATCAGCCATCACTTGCAGTGGCTGATGGGAACAGGCATTGCTCTTTGTATAATCCCAACCCTCACGTAATGGCTAGAGAGCACAGCAATGGAGAAATATTCAAGCCAAGGCATGTGGAACAGGATGGGAAAACATGGCTGCTAGAAGCTACCATAACACTGATACCGAAGCCAGGTAAAGACCCAGAGTCTTGCGGCAGCCTCAGACCCATATCGTTGATTAACGTGATGAAGATTACACCCTCTCCAACACATCTCTGAGTAAAATTTCCCCCCCTTGCTGGGTGCTATTCGATCTGACTTACAAACTTGGAATAAACCCTAATTTCGCTGGTTGGGCAGGGTTAATATCCTAACTATGAATGTACTCCAACGTCTTTTGTATTTACTTCATGCGCCTCCTATTCACTTTCCCAGGAAATTGTAAAGAATATCCAATCACTTTTTACCAATTATGTACCCCCCCAGATCGCTTACCATATCCTCACCTGCCCAAAGGACAAAGGGGGGGGGGGGTAATATGCTTCATTACTATTTTGCTGTTCACCTCTGGACTGGTCAAAACAACCTTTATCTAAACCAGGGACAGGCAACCTTTGGCACCCCAGGTGTTTTGGACTACATCCCTCATAATGCCCTGACACCCATAGTGCTGGCGTTGCATCATGGTGTAGTCCAAAACATCTGGAGTGCCAAAGGTTGCCTATGCCTGATCTAAACTATGGCTACCGATCGAACAATCATTTAAGACCCCCATTACGAGCCTTTCTATGGGCAATCATGTCCTCTACGGAATACCCTGTCCCCTCTCACCAAACTATTACTGCATCAGTGAATGCATGGTCGAAGGTATTTCACCTGAGTGACATAGCACCTAAACCATCACTTAGGTACTACATTACACGTAATGCCCTTTTTCCTGTAGGCGAACACAGCCTACTCCTTTTTACCCATATTTGTGAGATTCTTATCTTTACTATTACAGCCTACTCCTACCCACAACTTGCAGACTTGAGAATTCCCCATATGTACCCCTAGATAACCTGTGGGGTGAATCCAGACTGAAATCCCTTCATGACTTATTGCCATCTATCCTTCCAACCCCGGCCCAAACCTTTCAATACGACCAACTGAAGCACTTTATTAATACTCTCCATGTCCCAGCCACAGCCCTCAGAGACGATACGGAACTTAAACAAATGTGTTCCAAAACAACATCAGTAGTGAAACCCACATCCAGATGCCTAAAACTGCAGTCTTCATTTCTTTAAACGTAAATGGGAAAAACAACTTGGATTCTCCATGGGGGAGTCGGAATGGAGCGCAATTTTTCAGACAGTTGTTCACTCACACTCAAGTGTTGCCCTACGTGAGGTTAATTACAAACTAATATCAGGGTGGTATGACTCCATCAGACTTAAATAGATGCTATCAGGAGGTGTCAACACTCTATTGCAGATGCCGTAGGGGATCTCAAACATATACGATGGGACTGTGAGGGTTTAGCGGGATATTGGGCACTGTCATTGCTATTTCAGGGATTCACATTCCTCCTGACATAGATACCCTGGTATCAAAACTGAAACATTCTCTCCTTTACTTCATGCTAACTGCTGCCAAAACGGTTATAACGAGTCTCTGGAAATCTACCAAACAGCCAACCTTAAGAGACTGGATAGCAAAGCTGGAAACCTACCGGGTACTGGGGGAATTGAGGTGGTCTTCCCTAGATAACCATAAGAGATACCAACCCATTTGGCAGCCCTGGGAATCCTTCTATGGACATTTAAACTGCTCAGACGAATATATGAGCTCTTGGGCAACCGGAGTGTCCCTCTAACATGCAATCACTTTGTTAGGCCGTCCGTATACACCTCCTTGACCTCCTATAGATCTAGGTCAGGTGATATGCCCGTAGGCATCATGAATTAAGAGTTGTGTGAACATTATATTTACCTATACCCATTAGCCGAGCTATGCTAACCAAAGATTATGGTCACTTCCTCTCTTGTTACATTCCTTTTTTTTAAATATTTTTATCTTTGCTTTTTGCTTCAATCTTCTATTTTCCCTGGTGGAATTATAAATGTTACTCCATTCACTTATTCCTATTCCCTTTTTCTTTATTTGTACTCCCTCCCCTCTTTGTGATATGTTATGTATTCCAATGTTGTATGGGAAAAGTCGGTATATTATGTGACAAATTATTGTACTGTATTTACCAATACTATATCTCATATCAGACAAAATGGAATATTCTCTGTAATATGCTTACACAGATGAGTTGTATATGATCTATCTTTGTGCATTGATCCCTGGAAAAATAGACTGGCTTTGTTACTGTATTTTACATCATCTTAATAAAAATCTATTGAATTAAATAAAAAAGCGTGGCTGCAAAGAAACACTGTAGGTCTTTCAAAATAAGTGGATTTTTGACTGTATTTAGTCCAGTGATAATGAAGAAGCTCCCCCCTTGATATTAATCTGTCTTGTTTCACATAGGTTCCTTCAGATTGCAATTTCTCCACGCAATGTGGCATTACCAGGCTTCTGTCAGGACCACCACGATGAGACCTCAACCCCTGAACTTCTCAGCTCGATCTTCTCGTGCCCCCGACCTCTCCAGCCTGGCTACATCTCTGCGGACAGTAACACAGATGTCGATTTAAGAGCCGGGCCTCCAAGGCTTGGTCGTGGCTATGTCCTGGTTTCATAGCTGGCTCTGCTTCAGAGATAATCTTACTGTGGTCTTGCAATACTCCTGGTGTCCAGACCAGGAAACAAAAACGTTCTATGGCAGCTGCGGATGTCAAGCAATAATGATTTATTCAAAGCACAGATAATGCAGCAGTGTTTTCCATGTAGCTGCCACGAAGACGTGTAGATTTAGAATTACTTTATACTCTGTACTGAGGGGGGGGGGGGTATTGGTAGTACTGTAATGGGGTGTAAGTGCAGCATTACACGGTGTGTATATCCTGCCAGGTTGTACGGTGCTTAGATGACGTATTACTGAGTGGTTAATCCACCGCTTTCTGGGCCTCTCACAACTCCTGCATAGAGTGAAGGCTTCTATTGCTATTCTGGTTATACTCCTTTTTATTATTATAGGTGGGCTCAATATCATATCCAATTCCCTGTCCACCTTCTGTGTGGGGTCTCTGCTACTGTCTCGACCACCTTCAACATTCCTATGTGGGGAGGGGGGGGGGGGGGGACTCTGACCCCTCCCTTGTCCTGGCTGGGGGGGGCTGTTTTGTGGCACACTGTTAACTTTTTTTTTAAATCAGCCTTTTCCTTTTAACCCCTTGTGCTTGTCCACCCCCTCCCCTTTCTTTAGTTGTCTCTCACTCTACCTTTGAAGAAGCACTTTAATTCCCACTCCTGAGCTCCGTTCTCCTTATTCCCGGTCTGTCCTGGATTTGTTACTGTGTAATTACCAGATTCAGATACGGTGCTGCTGGAAACTTATTGATACATTTATAATAATGATAAAATAAATTCTGTTTCTTATAACCAAATGTGGTGGTTTTTATTCCTTATGTCTGTGTTTTTATTTTGTCTCCTGGTCACACTGTGGACGAGCGAGTATGAGGTGAGCAGGCTCTCACTATGAATCCATACTGAGAATACAAAGACCTTGTGTGAGGCCGAAACGTTGTCTGTCTTTCTATCTGGTGCTGCAGCTTTATTCTCGTCACAAACACTTCTTCTATTTTCATATCATTTCGCATTTCATTTCTATTTGTTCTTTTTTTGTAAAATAAGTTAAGTAAAACCTGTTAATTAAGGAAATGTGTTTTGTTATGAACTAGTTGCTGTTGAAGTGTTTGAGCCATCTAGTGGCCATTGGAGTTACTAAATAACCTCAATTTATTTATATAAGGACTTAGGAGAGAGCGCAGGGTTTTTTTTTTCCCTTTGGTTTTTACTGTATGTATTGGGGGTGATGTGTACTGTGGTCATTGCTGCCACCCAGGAGTGATGGGAGTGTGACGAGACCAATATCGCCACTGTGCATTGGAGGAGCCTGGTTGCCCGCCTGCTCCCATTAGACTATGGCCCCATGTTGAAACTCTTTTTCCCCTGCAAAGACACGAAAGCCGGGTCATTCGGTGCTTGCCCTGTTTGAGCGGTGATACCCCAGATAGCTATGCCATGGAGCCCATTCGTATAATGAAAGACTTTGGCTCCATGGCAATTGAACTGTGTGTGATCTGAACGCCATTCAGTAATAATGTGCGCTCAGATCTGAGCTATCTGGGGATATGTTGAATGTACCTGTTTTATGCAATGGCTGCATATTTTTATGTATTTTATTGTCTTTTGCTGCCATGTGTTCAATTGAGTTTTGCCTTTTGTCCTTGGAGATAATTGGATTACTTCCCAATTATCTCCAGGATAGAAGACTCTGTGGAACTGGTTTTGGGGAGAAAAGCCATGCTTCCTTTGGTCACAAAGGACTTCGATCTATCTTTTGAACCACTGGACCAATTTTTATGATTTTGACGTATGTTTGTTTGTATTTGGAGTATGCTGATTCTGAAAATGTGAATGTGATGCATACTTTTAAAATTATGAATAATGTGGAAAAACTGTATTTCTCTGCCTCTGCTAATTACATTACCCTTTTGTGTAAGGTAATTGTATCACAGGCAGAGGGGAGGATTTTGTGTGGGAGTGTCTGAGTGTATTGTATGTGTTTATTGTTTGTTTTCCAAAACCCTGTGGGTGGTACTAATGTGTAAGAATGTGAACATAAGAACAATAAACTCACAGCTCTGTCTGTTCACTGCCTGACCCGCAACACGGAGCTTTGTCTCGTTCTTGGGGGGATTTATTGTATGCTGTTCCAGTTCGACTGCTAGGAGTGTAAACCTTTCGTATGGTTTTTCCTATTCGGCTGTTTACAGCATTCATATACTTCTCCGGTTCGGTGGATTGGTGTCTTTGGTAGCTGCCTGTGTATCTGGAAGGGGAATATCCTCTAAACGGCGGTTTAACCCCTTTTATGCCTGGGGGTGCCATTACAGGGAGTTTGAGCGCAGGACTTTTTTGTGTATTTGTATCACACATCTGGGTTACAATGCTGCCACCCATCCCATGTGTTCTCTATTAAGGGTTAATAAGTATATAGGGGTGTATATAAAATACCCCTGTCTGTCTCATTAGAGATATCTTTGCCAGAAGCTCAAGGTAGCAAGGTGAAGGGTCAGTGTAAGGACCTGCCTAGGGGGGGTCTGACTTGACGTTGGCAGGATGGGCATTCCTTCCAATGGCCATTGGAGCAACTAAATGACCTCCATTTGTTTAAATATACATAGGGATTAAGGAGAGAGCGCAGGTAAAATTTTTTTTTTTTTCCTCTTTGGTTTTGATTGTATCAATTGTCTGAGTAACTCTTTTAAAAAGGTCTTTAAAAAAACTGCTTGTCAACCTAGAGAAGCAGATTACCATTATTTGTATGTGTGTAATATATTGGTTTGTTTTATAACCAGTTACATGGTATCCTTTCCAGTGACCAGGACAAGATATATTTAAGTTCAAACATTTTTTTTTTTTTATTGCAGTTTTAGGGCCGGTGTCTGTGCTGAGAGCTGGGAGCACAGGATGGGGCTGCTGCGGGAATAAGGAAAGGTGGGTTTAGGAAGAGGGGGCTGAGGTGGTCTTCTCCTCTCGGGACACAGGGATTGGTCTCTCGCTGTGGCTGGAGTCCAGGCTGGATAGCAGTTTGGGGCCAGAGAAGGTCAGGATCCCATCGGCAGTCAAAGAGCAGCTGATAGAGGACTGATCCACATTTGGAGGGAGACGATAGCGGCGGTGAAATTCCCTAGAGATGTATCCGTGATCGTCCTGTGAACAAGACAGTTTTATATACATATAGTTATTATTCGGTCCTGTATTACTAGCCAAGCTTTGGAAGTCACTAACTACTGGAACTATATATTAATTTGCTGATTGGTTAGTGGAACTTTAGAGCCCTGAAGGCACAGAAAAGGAGACACTTGCATTTCTCTCCTCTTGCTCCTTCACTGAGCGTCTTATTTTATTATTGTTAGAAATGCAACCTTTCCCTTGTCACGGTTCAGGGGACGGGTGTGGACAAGCAAATACATTTCATCTCGCACAAAGTGAGATTCAGAGCAGAAGCACCGCAAGGATCCAGTATGTGATCACAGGTAGTCACTCTCCAACCCCTGGCCCCTGTTCACATATGGTCCTCCAACCTATGGAAACACCTGTTCTCCATCAGCCCATAATTCACAAACCTGTGGTTCTCGTCAACACCTAACTCTCCATTCTATCCTCCCCCCATAACACATGTTCGCCATCATCATCTAATTCACCATTCTGTCTTTCCCATAACACGTTCCCCATCAGCACTATATTACTTTATTCCTTCCCCCGTACTCTCCCCTACACACGTTTCCCATCTTCACTTTATTCCCTCTCCCCTAAACACGTGTTCCCCATCAGCACTATTTTACTTTATTCCCCCCCCATACTCTCCCCTACACACGGTTCCCATCAGCACTTTACTCCCTCCCTGTACTCTCCCATACACACGTTCCCCATCAGCACTCTATTACTTTATTCCCCCCCATACACACTGTTCCCATCAGCACTTTAATCCATCCCTGTACTCTCCCAGCGCTATATTAATTTATTTCTCCCCTACACACATGTTCCCTGTTGCCCACACCCACCTGTCTCTCACTGTGTTTTCCATGGATCTCCACAAAGTCATCCAGTAGTTTTACACTCAGATCCTCAGGGGAGAAATGTTTGACATCCAGATTAATGACAAAACGCTCTCTGTCCGAGCGAACCTGGAGGAACGAAAAATATTCACATTGGGTTAGGGCAACCTCAAGGCTTCCTGAACCATAACCACTCCATGCACTTTAGCACTCTGACACCATAACCACTCCAGCACCATAACCACTCCATGCACTTTAGCACTCTGACACCATAACCACTCCAGCAAAATAACCACTCCAGCACCATAACCACTCCATGCACTTTAGCACTCTGACACCATAACCACTCCAGCAAAATAACCACTCCAGCACCATAACCACTCCAGCACCATATCCTGTCCATGTGGCGCTGTGGTGGCATGAAGAGCAACATTTTCATGTCAAACTGCTCCCAAACAAAGTAATACAATGATTTAAAATAATGCACTGTAATTATACAATGAGCTGTGATAGAATGAAACTGTAAATACAATAAGCTGTAATAATGAAATTATTCTTTAATAGAATATAAGAACTAATAATACAATAAGCTGTAATATTATTATCGCCATTTATATAGCGCCAACAGATTCCGTAGCGCTTTACAATATTATGAGAGGAGAGATTTCATTATAAATAGGACAATTATAAGAAAACTTACAGGAACAATAGGTTGAAGGGAGGACCCTGCTCAAACGAGCTTCCAGTCTATAGCAGGTGGGGTATAAAATACGTTAGGACAGGAGAGAGCAATCAAATAGGTGGGAGTGAAGCAGAGCTGGAGGAGAGCGCAAGAGACCGGTATGTAAGCTAGAGGTTACTCTGGGAGGCCATAAGCTTTCCTAAAGAGATGGGTTTTAAGGCACTTTTTAAATGATTGAAGACTAGGGGAGAGTCTGTAGGCAGGCTGTTCTATAGGAAGGGAGCTGCCCGCGAGAAGTCCTGCAAGCGTGAGTTGACCATACAGGTGCGAGCAGTGGACAGGAGAAGGTCATGGGCAGAGTGGAGAGACCGAGAAGGGGCATACCTAAGGATCTGTGAGGAGAAATAAGAGGGGCTAGAATTGTTCAGTGCTGTAAATGTATGGGTTAGCACTTTGAATTGATTCCTATAGGATACAGGAAGCCAATGAAGGGAATGACAAAGGAGTGAGGTGTGAGAGGACCTACTAGAGAGGAAAATCAGTCTGGCAGCAGCATTCATTGCAGATTGTAGCGGGGCAATTCCTGCATGTAATTTCCTGCATGGACTACTGTAACCCTCTCCTGATTGGTCTCCCCAAAAGCCTTAGCTTTTGGGGAGACCAATCAGGAGAGGGTTACAGTAGTCCATGCAGGAAATTACTAGAGCATGGACAAGTTCCTTGGTAGCATTTTGCGTAAGAAAGGGGTGGATGCAGGCTATGTTTTTAAGATGGAATCTACAGGATTTGGTAACATACTGGATGTGAGGCTCAATGGTGAGGCCAGAATTAAGTATGACACCAAGACAGCACGCTTGCAAGGATGGACTTCTGTGGATACCACTAACTTGAAGGGAGAGCGAAAGAGGAGGATCAGTATTAGGAGGAGGAAAGACAAGGAGCTCAGTTTAGAGAGAGTGAGTTTCAGAAAGCAGGAGGACATCCAGTCAGAGATGAAGGAAAGGCAAGCAGTGACACGTTGCAGGATGGCAGGGGAGAGGTCCAGGGAGAAGGGGATATGTCTGGGTGTCATCAGCGTACAGGTGGAAGTGGAATCCAAAAGAGGTAAAAAGTTTGCCAAGAGAGGCAGTATAAAGATAAAATAGAAGGGGACCAAGAACAGAGCCTTGGGGGACTCCAACCGAACCAGGACGAAGGATGGAGGTATCATTAGAAAAGGAGACACTGAATGAGCGTTGGGAGAGATAAGAGGAAAACCATGAGAGGACAGAGTCACAGAGACCGAGCGATTGAAGAGTTTGAAGAAAGAGAGCATGATCAATAGTGTCAAAGGCAGCAGAGAGGTGAAGAAGTATTAGTATGGAGTAGTGGCCTTTGGATTAAGCTGCAATTAGGTCGTTAGTAACTTTGATAAGTTAGTGGAGAGGGCAGAAGCCAGATTGAGGAGAGGGTCAAGGAGAGAGTTAGAATTGAGGAAGTGAGACATAGGGGTGTGACAAACTTCCCTTTTCCTGTGAGTTTGCCACCAGTTCCTGCTTGCCAGCTTCCTTCCCAAAGACTATGGACCCTGTAGACTGTGATATAAAAGTCTCCGTTTGTCTATTTGAATTATATGTTTTGGTAACTGAGCAGCCGCACAAACTGGAGACCACCCTGGAGCTTGTTAAGCTTAATTCATACATTGTTGCAATTTCCACCGCAGTGGTCTAAGTGTTCGTCTGGGTGACCGCAATTCCTATGGACGACCACGAGGTGGCAGCTATCTTATTCGCGTGGACCAAAACCGCGAATAGACTTCAGTGGGACTTAGCCGCAAATGCCCTGGAACTATTTCCGGCATGAAAACTTTGCGGTTCCCGGTCGGTCCTCCAGTGGCACTTAGCCACGATTCTATGGAACTATTTTCGGCTATGGGACTATGCGTGTGGTCGGTCAAATAAATGGCTTCCAGGAAATTCCCGAACCACTGAACTGATCTGGGTGATTTTTGGATTTGTTGGTCACCCAGATCAGGATTATCAAGGGATGTAACATTGGGGTTTTTATGTATTTTTAGGATACCTTTGGGGTGTTTTAAAAAAAAAAGTATGTTTTTTTTCTTTGCTTGGAGATAATTGGATTATAATTAGTATAGTTACTGATCCAATTATCTCACAGGCAGAGGGATGGGATTGTGTGCTGTTTGTGGGAGTGTCGTGCCTTGCAAGTCCAGATTAAAAGCCCAGTGGGCCTGGTGCTGACCATTATCATGGGGCCTAATTACAGAATCTTATCGACCAAAAACACTAACACAGTCATACCTCTCAAGCGTCGTGTATCTGATGGAGATGGTATTGGAGGGAAACTTAAAGGATGCAGCTATAAGAAAACACATACTCTGTACTAATCTCTCTCTAATTTATGCTTTCATCTTTCAAGTAAATCCATACCCCCTAACAGCAGTGTCCAGTGAAGCAGGAAGTCAATGGGCGGGGTACAAGGGTGGGCCACTGACGTGAATCACGTGACCAGAACTGCCAAAAGGGGTGAACATACCCAAAAAGGGGACATGTCTGTCCAAAGAATTGGAAGCCCAGCCTCGCATCAGTGTCCCCATGTCGCCCAGTCCTCTAGTCTTTCAGTGTCCCCATGCCTCAGTGTGTCCTGTGTCGCTAGGATACTAGGGGACATTGAGAGGCATGGGGACACAGTGAGACTTGGGGACACTGGGAGACATGGGGGCACTGAGACACTTGGCGACACTGGGAGACATGGGGGCACTTGTGGATACAGACATGGGGACATTTGGGGACACTAGGGACACTGAGAGACATGGGAACACAGACACTGGGAGACTAGGAGACACTGGGATGCATGGGGCACTTGTGGACATAGACATGGGGACACTGGGAGACATGGGGACAGACATTTGGGGACACTGGGAGACATGGGGACAATAAGGACACTGAGGGACATGGGGACACTGAGACACTAGGGACACTGGCTGGGAGACATAGGGACACTGGGAGACATGGGTCACTTGTGGACATAGACATGGGGACACTGGGAGACATGGGGACAGACATTTGGGGACACTGGGAGACACAGGGACAATAAGGACACTGAGGGACATGGGGACACTGAGACACTAGGGACACTGGCTGGGAGACATGGGGACACTGACTGGGAGACATAGGGAGACATGGGGACACTGATAGACATGGAGACAGACACTGGGAGACTGGGAGCCATGGGGACACTGAGACACTAGGGACATTGGCTGGGAGACATGGGGACACGGGGAGACATGTCAGACATGTCCCTATGTCTGACAGCATCCCCATGTCTATGTGTCCCCATGTCTCCCTGCTGCGTTTCCCCCCCATCCCTCACTTCCCTGAGCTGTAGTCTGTCTCTGCAGGCTGGGAGCTGCTGTCTGGGTGGGTGAAGGACAGCGAGACCCCAACCAAGCTGTGGTGGTTTGTGGGGTCTATGGTGCTTATGGTGTCTGGTGCAGTGCTTCTGGTCCTCGGTGTCAGCTAGGAGGCATCGGTTGGCGGAGGTACCCAGTCGGGGTGCCAGGTGGTCCGTCCAGAAGCTTTGAGAAAAAAGGGAGCAGGGATATGGGGCAAAAGTTAGAAGGGGAGGATGGGTCTGGAGATGTTTTTTTTTCAGGATAGGTACTACAGTGGCATGTTTAAGGTCAGCAGGGACAAAGCCAGAAGAGAGAGCAGTTTAAAGGACCACTCTAGGCACCCAGACCATTTCAGCTTAATGAAGTGGTCTGGGTGCCAGGTCCAGCTAGGGTTAACCCATTTTTTCATAAACAGAGCAGTTTCAGAGAAACTGCTCTGTTTATGAATGGGTTAAGCCTTCCCCTATTTCCTCTAGCGGCTGTCTCATTGACAGCCGCTAGAGGCGCTTGCGTGCTTCTCACTGTGATTTTCACAGTGAGAGCACGCAGCGTCCATAGGAAAGCATTATGAATGCTTTCCTATGTGACCGGCTGAATGCGCGCGCAGCTCTTGCCGCGCGTGCACATTCAGCCGACGGGGAGGAGAGAAGGAGGATCGGAGGAGGAGAGCTCTCCGCCCAGCGCTGGAAAAAGCTGGGCGGGAGGAGGTCCCTGAGGGTGGGGGCACCCTCAGGGCACTATAGTGCCAGGAAAACGAGTATGTTTTCCTGGCACTATAGTGGTCCTTTAAGATGTTTGTTAAGGAAGGCACAAGACAAGGGGAGAGAAATCTGATAAGGTGAGATGGGACAGGATCGAGCAGGCAAGTGGTGGGGTGAGAGAAAAGGAGAAGTGCAGACACCTCTTGTTCAGAAGCCGGGGAGAAAATCTGAACGGACCTTCCTGTACCCCGGTTGGGTACCTCTCCCGACAGATGCTCCTAGTGCTTCCCAAGGACTCCAAACACTCCACCAGACACCATAAGCACTGCAAAGCCCACAAACCGCCGCAGCTTGGTTGGGGTCTCGCCGTCTCCTACCCACCCTGGACCTACAACAAGGCTCCAGGTTCCAGGGTCTCAAGCAGGAATAGCTCTTACAAGAGCTCAGGGAATCCAAGGGAGTATAGTGATTATAGCAATCCCTTGTGGTGAAATAGCGGTTCCCTACAATAAGAGACAGAACTCAGTATTGAGGGTGAAGAAGTCTGATGTTTAATGGAGGCACACTGCCTTTTATGCTGGTTTCCCAACAAGGGTAACGCCCAGGTAGAACTTGTTGGGCACAGGGACACAAAGGGAATAAACCAATAAGACACTCCCATAACACACATACAATCCCTCCCCTCTGCCTGTGACATAATTAAGACAGATAATGCATTAACTTAATTATCCCCAGGCAGAAAAAAACACACATTTTTACAAAGTCCAAAAAGTAACACAAAATACAACATATCCCCTGATAGCTCTGATCTGGGTTAACAACATATCCAAAAATCATCCAAATCAGAGCAGGGGTTCAGGAAATTCCTGGAAGTCTCTTTTTGACCGACCGCAGGCATTGTCCCATGCCCAAAACAGTTCCAGAGAATTAGGGCTTGCGGACAGTCTGGTTCAGTAGTTTGCAAACAAACAAACCACCGAACGGAGTCAATAGTCTTACCCTGGATCTTGTTCCCTTCATCCAGACGCAGGGCCGGTGCAAGGATTCTTGCCGCCCTAGGCAAAGATCCATTTTGCCGCCCCCTCTTGAATGCAACTACACTCTCTCAGAAGTTTATTCACTAACCTATGAACTCAGTGAATTGGAAATCGAATTGCATAGTTTAAGCAAAAACAGCTGAACTGTGACTGTAGTGGAGTTGGCGAATTCTTCTAAATGGTATAAATTTTGCCATTTGGTTTTTAATTAGGTCTGATCAGCTGTCCCTTTCCTCCATAGTGCCCAAACTCTCTCATTGGCGTTTATCCACAGCTTTCTCCTTTGTGTCTGTTTCCCAAAGCTTGCAGTCTCTGTGTTCACGATTTCTCTGCTCACTCTATGCAACTGATTCTCTCCAGCCTGTTTCTCTTTATTCCAATAGGGTTATTCAATAAAGTGAGAATTGTTGGGAATTCAAAGTGAACTTCTAATTTATGGTCAAAACACCCGTTCTCCAGATTTGGCCACTCTGCCCTTACACTTACAATTCTCACTTTAGTGAATAATCCGGTAATTATCTTATGTCAATTTCTCTTCTTTTCTTTTCCCCTTCTATTCATTAAACAGTGAGTTGAAATATAACCTGCAACATTTAGGCCAAAACAGAAGAGCTGTATAAAGTCATCTCACCTTTTTCAAATCACTGTTTAGTTAATAGACACCTAAGTGTCTAAGGGAAAGCAGAGAGACCAGTGATAAATTTAGGGAAAGGGAACAGACCGGGAAGGCAATTAGGAAAGGGATAGAGAGATTGTTGAGGTTTTTAGGAAACTGATACAGACTACAAGACATTTTAGGAGAGACACAGTGAGCAGACATTTAAGGGGGAAAAATAAACTGTCCAATATGAACACACACACACTGCCAATACATACGTACATCCATACACTGCCAATACATACATACATCCACACACACACACACTGCCAATACATACATACATCCACACACACACAGACTGCCAATACATACATACATCCACACACACACACACACACACACAGACTGCCAATACATACATACATCCACACACATACACACACACACACACACAGACTGCCAATACATACATGCATCCACACACACACACACTGCCAATACATACATACATCCACACACACACTGCCAACACATACATACATCCACACACACACACACACACACACACACACAGACTGCCAATACATACATACATCCACACACACACACACACACACACACACACACACACTGCCAATACATACATACATACATCCATACACACACACTGCCAATACATCCATCCATACACACACAGACTGCCAATACATGCAACCATACACGCACGCTGCCTAATATATACATTCAACCATACACACTCACTGGCCATTACACACACACTGCCTAATACATTCATCCATGCGCACATACTGCCCGACACATACATCCATGCGCACATACTGCCCAACACACACATCCATGCGCACATACTGCCCAACACATACATCCATGTGCGCATACTGCCCAACACACACATCCATGCGCGCATACTGCCCAACACATATATCCATGCGCACATACTGCCCAACACATATATCCATACGCACATACTGCCCAACACATACATCCATGCGCACATACTGCCCGACACATACATCCATGCGCACATACTGCCCGACACATACATCCATGCGCACATATTGCCCGACACATACATCCATACGCACATACTGCCCAACACATACATCCATGCGCACATACTGCCCAACACATACATCCATACACACACACCCTGCCAATACATCCATCCATACACACACAGACTGCCAATACATACAACCATACACGCACGCTGCCTAATATATACATTCAACCATACACACTCACTGGCCATTATACACACACTGCCTAATACATTCATCCATGCGCACATACTGCCCAACACATACATCCATGCGCACATACTGCCCGACACATACATCCATGCGCACATACTGCCCAACACATACATCCATGCACACATACTGCCCAACACACACATCCATGCGCACATACTGCCCAACACATACATCCATGCGCACATACTGCCTAATACATATACATTTTACATTGTATACATTTATGGTTGTTATAACAAATTTATTCAATTCATTTGGTGGGATTTAACTTATACTATTGTGCATTTAGTTTATGCTAATGGGGTATTTAATGTGTGCGACAGGGAACTTGTCTGAAAGGCACACTGTAAGTAAAATGTTTTTTTTAAATATAATATATATATAATTATATTAATGTATTAGAAATATAACTGGTCACACGCTCACTGGCACACACACACGTCACTTACACCATCTCACACACACACACACACACACACACACACACACACACTCTTACTGACAAACACACACATACACACAAACAAACACTATGTCACATTCTCACTAACACACACTCTCACTGAAATACACAGACACAATGTCACTCACACCAGTTTACATATAGTCAGTTTATTAAAACACACACCCACAAACAAACTTAACACACCAATGTTCAAACATACCCACACACAATAATAACCATCTCCCCTTATCCTCCAGTGATGCCATACCTGTGCTAGTGATGTGACTGGAGGAGAAGGGGATCATCTTTCAGCCTGCAGGTATCTGCCCTGGTTCCTGGGGCAGCAGGAGAGCCATGCAGTGTGAGCACAGGCTGCTCCCTGCTCCCTTCACTGTGCTTCCAGTGTTCACAGGCAGGGGGCAGCCAGGGTACCAGGCTTCCTGCCTGCAGGAAGCACAGTGCTTTGCTAGGGTGCTGGGGATTCAACAGACCCCCTCTCCCTGAGCAGCTGATCGGCTCTGCAGCATCAGCAATAAGCTGTACTAATACAATGAGCTGTACTAATACAATAAGCTGTACTAATACAATGAGCTGTAATACAATGAGCTGTACTAATACAATAAGCTGTACTAATACAATAAGCTGTACTAATACAATGAGCTGTACTAATACAATAAGCTGTACTAATACAATGAGCTGTACTAATACAATAAGCTGTACTAATACAATGAGCTGTACTAATACAATAAGCTGTACTAATACAATGAGCTGTA